GCTGACATTTCTACTGTTTTTTATTTATTAGTTCATCAATAAGAAATATCCTTCTTCTCCCAGTTTGTTTTTTAGATCCTGTGTTGGGAAATTATTCTGATTTTAATTTCCTGCAATGCAAAAATCACGAAAATTAGGATTATTTGCCAATGTAATCCTTGAGGTAACTTGGGGCTGAAGACTTTCTTTTAGGTCTGCTTGACAACTCATTGGATGCTCCTGCATCAAACGTAATCGCAACTACCTTTAAAAATGGGAATAAAACTGGAGAGAGGATTTGAAAGTGGGCAAATTCGCTGTCGAGGCCGTGAACAAGAGTCTCCGGCGGCGCAGAAAATGAGTTCTGTTGAAAGTTACAACCGTGTGTGGCCAAGGTTAAAAAGGAAGTAAGTTACTTATAAGTTTACTGTTTTTAACAGGTGTAATTTCAATTGCAGTCCCAAACCTTTTGAATATTTGTAGGTTTTACCTAAACCTTTGATTTATACAACACATGTCCCAATCCTTCATAATTGTGCGACAAAAGGACATCCACGCACTTTATGTCCAAAAATTCGTTAGCTGAGCAAAAGTTAGCGTTTGACCAATTTTAAAAATGGAAAAAATGATCTTTTAACCTTTTATTAATTAAAAATGGGTAATTTACATTGAAAGTTCCAAACCTTTAGTAAATTTTGTGTCGAGTCATTTCAACTTGGACAATAGATGTCAAACAAATATGGTTGCAAATTGCGTTTAAGATGGCTTCGAGAATTTTGGATGAATAGATTAGATGGTGGAGGTATTCAAGAATTGTAAAATGTAATCAAAGAATTAAATAATCGTAATAGAATGAATATCGAGAATCTCTTGAACTATCCTAAAAGAACAATAAAAATTTAGGGGTGTTGACTAATTAGTAGATAATTGAGATTGTCGTGAAAAATTATCAAGATGATGAAGTTGAATATGAAAACTTTAGAATGAATCCGATTAGTGAAAATAAGATCTCGAAACGGTGATGACATTGAATGTTGTTATTGCAATATGAGGAAAGTTAGAGATGGGATCCAATACTACATCATTTCAAGAAAATAATAATAATAATTGACTCGTATTTTAAGAAGACCTCATAATCTAATCATAAGCACCATGTATCAAGATTCAAGAAGTTAATTTATGTATTACATGAGATTTATATGAATCTTAAATAATGTATTATCTTAATAGTTTAGCACGTTATTTTCAATTCGGGATTGATCAAAAATATTATTCAACCTAGATTATTAATTTATCGATATTATATTATCAACTATCTACCGCAATAGAAAATTTTGGTTTATATAACTATATTTGAAGTTAATAAATAATATAAGTTATATCTCAATCATCGCAACAAGTTGGAAACAAACATCATTGCTACGAGTATGGATCCCTAAACCTTTCTCATCGATTGCATGTTCTAATAGAATGACATACTTGGTATAACGTTAGAGATCTTTAGTCTACTTTTAATATTTTTATTTTCTGTCTGAGATAATACGTCCTTATCTATTAGTCATATTATGTTTGTTACATTTTTGGAGGTCAAATATACATCCCCTCCCATGTATTCTTACAAATTCTATATATCTTGTGGTTGGAACTTCCTAACCCCATACATTTAATGGAATATAAAAACACTAAAATGAGTTGATAATTTGTCTTAAAAATATATATAAATTTTTTTTTTTACTATTTTAGTCCTTGAGTTTTTTTTTTAATGCATAATTTTGGTATAGATTGTATACTTATCTACTCTATAGATATTTTAGTTCATTATTACAAACTTAGCATCATAAGAAAATTAATAATTTAACTTAATCATTACATTTGCAAAATTATTTACCCGAAGAATGTTTTGAACGGTTTCGTTGTCAATGTAATTAATTATGAATATTTACGTTGATTTTGCTCAAACAGAGGTCGTATTTTGGTTATGCGAGCACGTACCAGTGATATTGAGATAGCAAATTGACATAACCCCAAACCTTTATCTTTTAGGTAACAATCTCTTTGATTCAATCCTACCTCAAATTTGCACTTGGTCACATCTGGTTGCACAAGGATTGATTGCGTTCGCCATCAACGGAGACTTAAGAGGGAAAGCTACCCAACTATTTCCCCATCAACTAGTTGATCCTGTGTATATCAATAAAGACTTCAATGAGAGCTTCTCGACCTAGTTCTAAGTAGAGTCACGTACATTAATGAGATTTAAAAGATGAGAGCTGTTTGACTTCGTCTCCAACAACTATTCAATCGTTCTCATTACGAGATTAACTCACAATTGTAAAAGTCGTCTTCTATTTTCATGTATTATTTTCTAATTTGATGATGAGAAAATTGAAAAGCGAGAAAGGCAGGAGATTGGAGAAGATTATTTAGAACTTGCCTGGTGCCTATTTTTTTGGCCAGAAAATTGATTATATGATCGTTACATTGCAACCTGTGGCCCACAATGTGAGGAAGAAGTCAACTTCTGCGGCTTGCAACAGTAAAATATTCAATTAAAATTTGGGAGAAAAGCAATACTAGGCAGGCGCTTAATATCTTTTCCTTTCATTTTGTTATTTTTTTATTTTCATTTCTATTTTTTTATTATTTTAACCCTAAAGTGGTTATATTGTATCCCAAAAGGACCCTAAAAGCTACAAAATCATAAGGTTGGCAGTGACATTGTTATGATTTAAAAGTTAGGGATGAATGTGCACATAGATCAAAGGTCAGAGACCTAGACTGCAATTTATTTGTTCAACTAGCCTAGAGGGACAAAACCACGATAAATCTGCACAGCGGCTTTGCATAAACCCTAAAGCCCTGAATCACCCTGGCGATCAATATACTGATGTTGATAACCTAACATAACAAGCAGATGAAGATGTCGGCACAGTTGGTGTCGGCAAAGCCAGTATCTCTGTCGAGAGCTGCTAAGCTCCTAAGCCGATTTGCCGCAGTCGACAACGGCTCTGCCGGCGCCGTCCCGTTGTATCTACAGCGCACTTCTGACGCCTTCAATCACTTGGTCCAGTTCCACAGCAAGAATAAGATGAATGAATCTCAAAGTTACCCTGATATGAAAAGGGTTCAGAAACTGCAAAGAGACTGGGAGAAAGGAAACCCTCAAGATACTGCCAAGCGGAGCCTGGATGAAGGAAACAAGAAATATTCCAGGATTGGTCAGGGAAGTGACGAAACGATGTCAGAGATTGTCACTTTGGATGGCGTGCCAGAGCAAGAGAAAAAAGAGAAGAGGAAGAGGAAGAGGAAGAGTGGAGGCGAACTTGAAAGCGATAAGAAGGAGAAGAAGAATAAAAAGAGGAGAACTGAAATTGACAACAGTTAACAGCAGTTGTTGGTGGATGGCTTCAGTTCTGGTTATAGTTGTTGTAGTTTTTCGAAGGTAATTATGGGCCAATAATTTGTTTATTAATCTAATTCAATTCTTAAAGGAATTTTGATGGTTCTCTAGTTATTTATGTTTTTTCTTGAATGGGTTGTTTACAAATGACTGAGAGACTGCACCAATCACCATATTTTGAAAATGATGGTTCAATTACATAGAACTCTTAACACAAGAGAGCAAAGGTTGATCAAGAAATCAGATTTGAAGGGAGGATCACAATACAAGTATTGGTTTAGAATTTAACAGTTGGAAAAAAAAAAAATGAAACCCCGCTTCCCTTCCCTTCCCTCCCTTTCTGCTACAAGCATGCATGAGCTTTTGATTCAGTGATTTCTAGTCCTCGTCGATCTGTCCTATTCTGATTTTACTGCACCACAATCTTTGGAAAAAAAAAAAGCTATATGATTTTCCTTGGATATGATTGCTATCATTTGAGTTTGCTTTGATTGCAATGACGTCCTTAAATTTTTTATAATGCAACACTATTTTCTCTCGTTGCATCCGTGTTGGATGGGATCCTTGATTATTTACACGTACTATTTGTATCAATAGATTAGAGATAACTGGTTTCACTATATAGAATTATTGTGGGAAATCAGTGGCGTATTTGCATTCTATTTTGATATCTATGTCACTACTTGGGAATGGTTTGCTGTCAAACATCTCCGAAGTTGCTTGCTAGTAGAATATAACTGTCTCTATATTGAATATTGCGACTTATTAGGCCTTTAATATAAGCTGTTGAAATTATGTGTTTGTAAGTCTTCATTCCCTGAATAAGTTTCTGCAAAATAGTAAATTGTCTCTCTTTTTGTTCCTGCAACTGATGTTAGGAAGTTTTATTCTCGTTTTTCCTCCATTTCTCGATACTCATTTTCGTAGCTATTTCCTTCCACCATCAACCCATTTCTTAGTTATTTACTCATTTTCAATAATAGATTCTAGTTCAGCTGCATTGTTGGTTAAGAATGCAATTTTAGCAGATTTTGTATATGTAGGTAATTATGGACTCAGATTGGGGTATCAATGGTGAATTATTTCTGCAGCAGTAACTAAAATCAGATGCCAACAAGTCTACATTATGGCATGGAAAAGGTGTACATACATATGAATATGAATTGATATGCTGACAATTGGCTGATGGTTTTTGCTCGTATTGTAATTTTATAAATAAGCAGAGTATTTTCGTCTGAACTGATTGAGGCAGTGGATGCTTTTGAAATTTTCCATGAATTTTCCTGTTTGACTTGTGTTTTCTGGACATTTAGCACTCAATCATGCTACTTACTTGTACAATCTTTTTTTACAATTTTGTTTGACAATCATACTTGGCAACATAACATTCATTCATTTCAAAAATCGTATTTAAAATTAATGGTCCAAATTTTGACAACGTCAGTGTTGTCACTTGTCATCCATCATTGTCAACCACAATTGTGTTGATAGATTAATTCTTTTTTTTTTTTTTATAATCGTGGATGTCCGGACCAGCTTACGCACTAGCCTTAGCTTTTGGATGGTTTGTTTACAACTAAATGGTTCTTTTATTTTATTTTTTCTCAAGGAAAACGTAAGAAAAAGAAGTATACACTATTGTAAGTGTTAAGAGGAAGATTGTTGATGTTTCTTTAAAGATTCTGTTAATATTTATAATACGAGAGATTTTTAAGTTATTTTTACTTTTAGTGGTAAGACTATAATTTTGTTACATAATTACTTTATTTATATGTGTGAAGTTAGCACTTTTAATTTTGTTCATTTTTAAGTATATAACGTTAATGTGACATTAAATGAGAGGCACTACCTAAATTGGGGTTAGATATCATTATTATTCAAAAAAGGGGCGGCATGGGCATGGCCATTTGCACTTAATCCCATGTTTGATGTCCAATAAAAAGAGCATTTTTTTGAAAAAAAAAGAGAGTTTTAGAATAGTGATTTTTTGGATGGTGTGTGATTAAAAAATAGGAAAAATTTTGGGTTTATGTGAAAAATGTTTGGTTGAAAATGAGTTTTTTAAAAAAAGTGTTGTTGAAAAATGATAGACAAATGGGTACTTACTTGCAAAAAATTTTTATTATAAAAATGTTTGGTTGAAAATGAATTTTAAAAAAATATTATCTTTGAAAAATTATAGACAACGGGTGCTAAGTGTAATAGATAATGTGGATAATTGTAATTGAAGGATGGCAAAATACATCTCTCTTTACCTGTCTTGTTTCGTTGAGGAATTGAAAGTGGGGGATGGAGAACATGATTTCGTTCTAAACCCGATTTAAGTTATCATATTGTTATTATTTTTTTATTCTTAATTTAATAGAGATATTTTATTCTTTGCTTTGCCTCTTAACAATTCCATTGCCATCCATTCAAAAATCGTGATTCATATTTCAATTTCAGCGTTGATTCAATATATAAGTAATTTGCTATGAGGTAAAACATACGGTTCTTTGATTAACTTCAAAAAAAAAAAAAAATCTTCTATTATTTATAAGTGTCAAAATAAGTGAGTACTTTGGTTAGCTCAGATTAACTTATCTACTGGTAGACTCGTTTAAATTTTGGTTTGGACCAAAATTGAATCTATTAATATTGCTGGTCGAGCTAGTCCAATCCGTCTCTCTCAATTTTTTTGGTGTTCTCTCCATTATAAATTTTTCAACTTGTAGTCCACCAGGTAGATCCAGACACGTACCTAGGCTGCGCAGGCGTTATCGTTGGAATCTCTGTTTGGTTTAGATAAAAATAAGATTTTTAATAGATTTTTATAAAATTTGATGAAATGTATAACTGGAAAGTGGTAGATTTCATAAAATTTATAACTAAAATTAATTATTGATTTTGATGTAAATTTTAATTCATTTTTTTAGTCAATCGCTAAGAGCATTTTCAAGAGATTTTTTAAACATAAGATGTTCTATTAAAATAAAGTTAATTTTTAAAACTAACCCTTCAATTTGAATATGAGTAATGTTATTCATCCCCAATGGGGATGAAAACACAGTCTACGTGGCGTTAATGTGGCATTAAATGATAGGTGAAATAAAATAAGTCATTTAATTTCACCTTTCATTTAACCTATTATTTAAAGCCACCTAAACTGTTTTTTCATCCCCAGTATCCCCACTGGGGATGAATAACATTACTCATATATTAATGTCCAATTTCCCATTTCAGTTCTGTCCTTTAACCATATTACAAATCCATG